TGACTCAACCACCTCCCTGGGCAGCCTGACAGTGCCTGACTACCTGTTCTGTGAAAAATTGTCCTGACATCCAGCTTAAATCTCCCCTGCTGCAGCCTGTGGCCAGTCCCTCTAGTTCTACTACCAATTCCCTGTGAGACAAGCCCAGCACCAACCTCTCTACAATGTCCTTTCAGGCAGCTGTACAGAATGACGCGATCTCTCCTCAGCCTACTCTTCCTCAAACTAAACAGCCCCAGCTCCTTCAGTTGCTCTTCGTAAGATTTATTTTCTAGGCCCTGCACCAGCTTCATTGCCCTCCTCTGCACTTGATCCAGCACCTCGACATCCCTCTTGTACTGAGGTGCCCACAACTGGACACAATACTCAAGGTAAGGCCTCATCAGTGCCGAGTACGGGGGGACAATCCCCTCCCTACTCCTGCTGGTCACACTGTTCCTGATACAGGCCAGGATGCCACTGGCCTTCTTGGCCACCTGGGCACACTGCTGGCTCATGTTCAGACACTTGTCTATTAGAACTCCCCGCTCCCTTTCTGTCAGACAGCTTTCCAGCCACACTTGCCCAAGCCTGGAGCGTTGCATGGGGTTGCTGTGGCCTAAGTGCACTTGGACAGATGGGACCACTGGGCCAAGGTTAATGGGATGAGCTTCAACAAGGCCAAGTCCCTCTGAAGAACCTCCCGATCCTCGTGCAGATTAACACTCCCACCCAACCTGGTGTCATCTGCAAACTTACTGATGATACCTTCAATGTCCTTATCAAGGTCATCAATAAAGATGTTGAACAGAAGTGGTCCCAACACCAAGCCCTGCAGAACACCACAGCTCAAGGTACTGCTGCGGAACAAAACAAAAAACAACCACCAAACAAACAAGCAGAGACACCTCTGAGCCTCAAGCCTGTGCATTTTGGACTACATTTATTTTCTTCAAGTAGGTATATGTGGTACATAAAGTCCATCTTTAACTAGGTTTGGGGGTTTTTTTAATAAACTGTTGGGATAGAAACAATCATGGAAAGTTTACAAAGGTGGTTGCTTCAATCATATTTTGACTTCCACCATATAGTGAGTTTTATATTTAAGGCTTAAACATTTCAGTTAATCATGTGAATTGCTGGCATGCTACATGAATATTTACATCCACTCAAAATTATATAAAATACAAGCATTTTATTATTTTTGAGTTCAACAGTATTGCTTAGAATTACAAAATACAGCAATGTCTGAAATACTGAAGGTTTCATAAAAGCAGCATTTTTTTCTCCCATTCCCAGTCTTAACTGTCCAGAAAATTACTCAAAAATATTTACCATTTAACATAAGCCACGATCTAGAAAAATGACTACCAAGTCTGAAACCACCTAACTTAAATATAAATGCAAGTGGCAACTGGCAAATGAGCACGACATTGCCAAGAACACAATAAGAAGTCTTTGTACTCTGTGTACTACAGCTATTTTTTTTCCTGGTCAAAACCCCCAAAATAAAAAAAACCAAACCAATAGCGGTGTGTTCAGACAGAAATTTAGAAGGCAGACTGGCTTTGTGACGAACACATTAGTGCTTCTGTCATTAATAGTGCAGAACCACTCGGGTAACTACTAATGAACACATTTATACACATATGGCAAAACAAACCTGTAACAACATGGTGCAATCCTTGCCTTGTGATGGTTCTATAAAGAAATATCACAATTTTCCAGACATGTGCTTAAATACACAAGTTCTAAGAGCTACAGGTGAAATTTCAACCTCCAAAGCGTACACTCAGTTTATTTTGTCACAGTAGCAACTGTGTGCACTCACTCAGGTTGAATTTTGCTGTAATTCAACTATTTTTGGTCCCCACGTGCAAAAAAACTACATTTTTTTCCTTTCTTCCTTATTTTTACTTGCTTGTCAAGGACAGATTGATGATTATTTTTATTTTTTTTAGTGCATGACTTTTCAAGTAACTAGCCTACAAAAATCTATAAACAGCTTAAAATATCAGGAAGAAATTCCAAAGAAAAGCATTTTCACAATCAAAGATAACATTCAGCACTTTTTTTTTTTTAAACACCATACAAAAAGAAATTGATAGTATATAGGTTCTCACATTTATATTAAACAAAAAGAATTCCTGTTGTATTCAAAAGTAGTTTCTCAGCATATGCAAACCATATGTTCCCTTATTTGGAATATTATTCAGAATACATTAATTTAGCCTATAAAAATACAGTATGGACAAGTTCCTCTCATTCCCTGACATATAAATTCACAATTTTGACACAAAAATTGTAAACTTGTATTACATTCAAAATGCGTTTCTTAAGTCTTTAGAATTTAAGTTCTGAGGTGTCGTCAGTCAGAGCTCTTGGTGTACAGCAGAAGGACGTTATTGCAGAGCCTTTACTCAGAAGTAGCTTTCTAAAGTTAAGAGAAACTTACTCTTCCCAACGTGTTTTTGTTGCTACCAGGAGGAAAAGAAAGGCTTCCTGCTATGAAAGGTCTGTGTGAACGCGTTACTCAGGTGAACAATTCGGCCTTGACTTCCAGTGCTACTTCGCTCCACAACCACACGTGGCATCTGAACGAGCTGAATGGGGCTTTTCCCATCCTTTAATGCCTGAGTAAGGTTTAGGATCTAACAGAGTAAAAAAGCAGGTAAGGTGAGGGCTCATGAATAAAAGGGTGGCTAGGAGGCTTATAAATATAGATGCTGCTCTTAATTCTGTGGAGGACTACGTTGGATTTTTTTTTTTAAATACTCTGTTGCAAGTGGAAATATTTTATTTGGTAATATTATGAAATCCTACTGCTATCTGAGTACGCTTCTAATATTTTCTTGAATATCTCATGCAATCCTCTCCAAATTTTCAGAATATGCTAGAGACAAAGTCTAAAAGCATTTTAGATTTAGCATATCTCTTAAGAGCACTGCAGCACCTTTAATGAAAAAAAACTCCAAACCTACAAGAGAGCAATCAACTTTTATTTAACATAGGTTCTACCAGGAGTATAGCTGTAAGTTATTTTCATATCAGAAGATATGAAGCCATATTATTAACCTACACCAAACCCAGTGCTAAGATCCAAATTCAGCCCTCAGCTCCCAAGACTGTTACTTTCCTTTCAAAACTGCAACGCTCATCAACTACCCTGATAATTTACTCCATGTTCTATGCTATCCATGATTCTCTCTTTTGTTCTGGTGACACACTTGTGTTATCCTTAACACCAAGCTTTCCCCCCACTCCCAGCCCTGCACAATGCCTTTCTTCCTTGTGCAACTCACTGATCCCCTGCACTTCCACAGCTGAAGAAACCAGCTGAAGAAACCTGACAGATAGTCTTTTGCAGTTTTACTGCAGTTTGGCTCTCCCAGCATTCTTTAAGTTCACTCGAGGAATTGTGAATGTCTGGCTTTAAACTATTCACGTTGAATTTATGAACACAGAGAAGTCAGTTTCAATAAACTCAGGGCAAATAGGACTACTAATTTATCTAGTCTAATTCCCTCACATTTTCACAAATCACTGTTCTACACTTAAAACAAACTAAATTCCTCTTAGCTAAAGCCTATTTTCCAGTATAGCACACCAGTCTTATACTTTAAAACAGCAAGAAGATGCAGAAACTCTCCTCCTCTCGTTTCACTGTTAAAAAAAAGCCAACAGTTATCATTAAGTTTCTAATCTGAAAATGGCTGGATTTGTTCCAAGTATGGTTTGTCATTTGCTGGGATGAAGAAATTCTATTACCTAATACTGATTTCTTGTGAGAGGTACTTTAATGATCAAGTTAAACTTCAAAAAGAGCCACATTTATTTCAAAACCATAACAAATTTACCCACCAGATTTCCCATTCAAGTTTATGATTCTTCTCTTATGATTCTTCTCGTTTCATTTTTAAAACGCCTTCTAAGCATATATAGGTATTAAGTCCTCCTCTATCCCTCACAACAGCAACAAAACCCAGTTACATTAAGAAAAACTTCTTCTATAAAAATTTTAAAAAAAGAAATCAGTATACACTTTCTGCTCTCATTTATATGCAAATAAGAACAAAACCTAGAAAGAAATCTCATCTTCTCAGATGAAAAAACCTTCAAGCATTCAATAGGAGTCAGTCTTCCTAGTCCTAAGAAAATATCTAAGAAGTGATGATAAATTATATACATAAATAAAAACGTAAAAAAAGCAGTCTTACCTGGCCCCTCATTACGGACATTTGGTTTTCAAAAGTAGCCTTGTCAAATCCTTTATCAGTCTTTATTAAAGAAAACAAACAGTTATTATAGGAAATGACCCGTTTATTTGTAGCTACATATTTAGCATGTACATTCATCAATTTCATAATAAGCACCATCATATTCACCAATATTATAACAATATGTGGAGGCTTCATAGTGTCACCCACAAAAAGGTCAATTTATGACACCAAGTTTACATATGTGAAAAGGAAGGATGTTTGACATAATAGAAGTAAAATAGACCAGTGGATACTTCATGGCATTGGCAGGTAGGCTTAATGCCATCACATTATGTTACACTGCTCTGACTCTCACCCTTACCCTGGCGAAATCTTTCCTCCTTCAGAGTTACTAAATGCTTCAACTTTCATTGGGTTTAACAGACAACTCAGAGTCACTTTGAATACAACCGAGTCAAAGACACAAATATTGTCACTGTGTTTCAGGATCTAGTTTTGATGTTACGGCTGCATATTTGTTAAAAGTTTAACATTTCCATTTCTTCCCATCCTGATCATTTGGATTATTTCACTTGAACATGTGACACAATTGCTTATGGAATGTTTCAGAGAAAGATTCTTCTTCAGATGTCAATATTGTAGCACAGTTTCAGCACCTTTAAAACTGCTTACTTTTAACCATGGCAGCATCGGCTTCATAGAATACAGGTATGTAAAAATTAAGTATATGAAAGGTCCACAGGTAGAATCACAGAATGTGTTGGGTTGGAAGGGACCTTTAAAGGTCATGTAGTCCACCGCCTCTGCAGTGAGCAGGGACATCTTTAACTGGATCAGATTGCTCAAAGCCCCATCAAACCTGACCTTGAATGCCTCCAGGGATGGATCCTCCACCACCTCTCTGGGCACTTGTTCCAGTGTTTCACCACTCTTATAGTAAAGAACTTTTTTCTAACATCTACTCTAAATCTACCCTACTCTAGTTTAAAACCATTGGCCTTCATCCTGTTGCTATGCACTCTTGTGAACACTCCCTCCCCAGCTTTCCTGTTGGCCCCCTTCAGGTACTGCAAGTTACATCAAATACAGGATTTCTTCAGGTTGCTGTGGTTCATCTTAAGTGCGTACACACCATGCAGTTATGCTAAAAGGAGCTTTTACAGAAATTGTTGTTCTAGAAGTTAACTAGCTTTAATTATGTGAAACTTAGATATCTATGAGGTAATTAATGTTTTCAGATGAGCTGATTACTTACAATTAGCCACATTAGTGACATAGTTTCACCTTAATTATAAGCCCTTTCAACCATACCAATGTTAAAGCTACAATATCATGACATACAGAAGGTAAATTCATAAAAAGAAATAAACATCTAACTGTTCCATTCTAGATTTTAGCTACTTCAATACAGTTGAATTCAAAGAAGCACTCAATTCACCTTAAATAGTTCATAAAGATCTTCACAAAGATCCTGTACAAAGTTCATATCAGAAATGCGAGGAAGAACTAGGTCTCTGGTCTCCTGAGAAAAAGGAACTTTTGCTTGAGGAAGCCAAGCCCAGTGAAAGGGATCTAATGCAGAAAAACAGTGCACTTAGTCATTAACAACAGGCAAAAAAATCAAATTCTCAAGTGCTTACCACTCATACAGTACTCTGCTATGTGCTGGAAGTTCTCAGTAACACACCATTTTTCACAATGTTGTTAGCCCTTATACCTCTTTGGCTACAATTACAGAACCGGCTTTACAGATGGCCTTTTTTCCAAACAGTGAAAATACATTTTAAGTAATAAATATTTAGTTGAATCGATAAATAAAGGTTATATAAATTAAAAACTGTAAGCAACAGTAGAGGCCTTGCCCTAGTTTAGTAATGCACTGTCTCTTGGAGTAAAACAGTGACTGCAATCAAACAGAAATCTTTCAGATGTTTGTCTCGTACTGTAGAATTAACAAAAAAGTAGCCACCATTTTTTTTAATTGCTTATTAAAATGCCTTCTTCTAAGCATGCTGAGAAAAACATTAACAGCAATAGCGTGAAAAGTTAAACAGCTTTTTGAAGAGCTATTCAAGAGTAATGAATGTTAAACAAGGCACCAAAAAGTCTAAGTTGCACGACCTGAGGGACATCACTAGTAGCAGGCCACCCATGGAACTTCCTGACACTGCTCACAGCCCTTTGAGCCCAACAGTCCAGCCAGTGTTCCACCCAGCCCAGTCAGTTTGTCCAGTTCATCTCTCACATTTCACTACAAGAATACTATGAGAGAGCATGCAGGTGGCCTCACAAAAGTCAAGGAAAAATCAGTACTCGCTGCCTTCCCTTCATCCACTGAACCAGTTATCATTAAAAGCTGGTCTAGTCAGTCAAGCAGTTCGTCTTCAGTAAATCCATGCTGGCTTTCCCATCTCCTTCTTGTTCTTTGGGTGCTTGAACACAGCTTCCAGGAAGATTCATGTCACAATCTTTATGGAGAATGAGGTTAGGCTGGCTACCCTGTCATTCCTTGTACCCTGCATCTTACCCTTCTTGAAGATGGACATGATACTCCTTCTAGTCATGGCAACCTCTCATTACTACAGTCTTTCAAGAATGATGAGGAAACTGCCTGACAACAACATCAGCCAGCTCCCATCGCTATTCCAATGCGTCCCACCCACTCCCATGAACCTCTGTACAACCATTTTGATTAAATGCTCCCTCTCTTCTGCTTTGGGAAATGATCCATTCCCAAGGGCTTTGCTTATGAGCTCCGAGACCTAAGAGCCTGAGAGGAAATCTTACAAGTGAATACTGAGGCAAAGTCAGCATGGAATAACTTGTTCTTTCTTAGGCCTTCTGGTCTTTGCTGTGCTTTTTTCTTCAGTCCCACCCACTTTCACTTCTAATTTACTTAACCATTTCTTGTTGCTCCTTATGTCCTCTGCTAGCTGTACTCCAGCTGAGCTTTGACATTCAACACTCCATTCTTGTACTTTTCAGACAAAGTCTCTATTTTTCCAGAGGAGTCTCTACATCCCTTTTAAAAATTAACTTTTATTTTTGTGTTCCAGTTCAGTCAGGAGTTCCCCATTCACCCAAGCTGGACCAACTTTCTGCCTTTTGGATAAGCTTTGTCTGGCTTTGAGGTTCTCCTTGACAATCATCCTACTCTAGTCATAAAGAAAATATGCTCGACCCATCAAATAACTGTGATTTTAAAAAACATGCTACACATTTACCTTTATAGTATTGTCACACACTTGTCCAACTGCAAAAGAACTCTAAGAGATCATCCCAGTTTATTGCTTTTGATGTTGAAGTAGGAAGATGTTATAAACTAAGTAATAATTGCTATGTCTTTAAAACAGCTGCAGAAGTGACTGTAGCCAAGAGATATGTAGGACAGTAACTACTGAGTATCTATACACTCTCTGTATATCTTGAGCTCTGGGTGGGGTAATTAACTAGCCTCCCGACAGCTAAACTAGCCCACGCTTAACTGCCCTAATTACCTGATTGGCCAATACTCCACAGAAATAATTGTAAACCATGTTGGACACTTCCCTCTGAACTGTAACTAGTCAGAGATGTGGTTAGAAGCAATCTAGCTTGAACAATAATACCAATTTTTCCGCCTGCTCAAAAAATACTAACTAAAGATTAACTTCTGTGAAGTCAGCTTGTCCAGTCACTCACCTACAACGGTGCCCTTTTTTTTTGAAATAGCAATTGGGCCATTAGAAAGACAACTTGCATATCCTTGCACTCAAGTCATTTTCTACCATGTTCTTCAAGAAACACAAGAAATGTGTTACTAAATTTTCACACTTCCATCCACAGTTTACATGCAGCAGTACATTTATGAATAGCCATACGGGTAAAAAAATATGAACAAAGATTAAATTGCACATGCCATTGCAAAAGTGGCATTTGTTGCTAACTTTCTGAAGAAGAGTACATTATTTAAAAATTCAATATAACTAGAGAGACGATTTCTTAGCTTCTTACTACAAGCAGTCAAACAAAAAAAGTACTTATTTGGAAGTTCCCAAAAGGAAGACGACTGAAGAATGCAATACTTACATGCCCTCCACTCATCAGGATGCTTAAAAGGAAATGCTAAACCATTGTCAATCGCAGCAATTTTAATAGTAGATTCTTTAGTGATAGTCCATTGGCTGTCCTATGGAAGGAATATTTCAAACATAAGTGATATGTATATGTTTACAAAAATAGTGAACTACATTAAAAATATGAAATATACTTTTCAGCTTCACTACTTAAACAATAAAGTTTATCCAAATAAACTCTAGCACTTGTAATTGACCCTACCACCACTAGAAAGGAGCCCTTCCCCCAAACACTAGATAAGCAGAGCACTTAAATAGCTGAGGAACCACACTTGAGCAACCGTGGGCAGTTTGCTTATTATCATAGTCCAAGTTAGTACAGAAAAAAAAAAAACACAAAACCCAATAAAAATAACTTATAGCACTGTTCTATCCAGACCAGTCTAATTCAAATAGTTTTTCCATTCATTTTGCCTTGAATAATTATCCATTAACACACTTCTTGAGACCATGCACCAATATTAAAGCCATGCACTTGATACCCTGTAAGACCAACTTACAAAACTAAATTATTTACAGAATACAAAACTTGGAGTACAATTTTCTTACCTTATCTGACAGATCAAGTGCACCATCTTCTTTCTCATACCTGACTAACCAGTTATCGTTACCTCTGTCTTTAAACAGGAAATGCATGTTACAACACATCATTTATAAAGAAAACATTTAAAGTGAATACTGGAAATTGAGAATTTACCACAGGAGTCAGGCAAAAATCATTCAAAAAGTTTTTTCCACTACAATACAGGTGCTTTAGCTTTACTGAAATGTACAAGAGAACTGATTTACTGGAAAGACCAAAAATTTACTAACTGTTCTTAGATATGTACCCACTGCTTTAGTTTCCCCCATTGCCTGAATATAGACCAAAATATCAAGAAAGCTACAAGAAACTATTTTCATCCATTTTATGCAGAAAGATTGGCCATAGCATGCACTGCTCCTGGAGGAAATTAAAGAACCATAAGCAGCAGCAAGCACAATGAATTAATTTTTCAGTTTGTTTTAATGCCAATGGGGTAAGGGTGAGGCCCTCCAAAATCATAGTGGGATGTTTGACTACATGGAGAAAAGACTCTTCAGCACTGGAAGAGGAAAAAAAACTGAGGAGTCTTTCAGAAGCTGAAAATGTCTGCACTGTTTGGGACAAAACTGACACACTGAAACTTTGACAAAGTCTTTCAGATAGAGGATGACTGCAGGCATCTGTAGGTCCTTTTCTCATCTTAAGTTGCTCCCTGAAGTTAAACATCTACTAGAAGATTTTCATGTCTTATCATGATTAGACACATTAGATGAAGGTAAAATCATCCACATAAGGAAAATACTCAAAATGCAAAACCTTACAATTTTAAGAATGTCACAGGACACTTTAATTTCTTGGAAACACTGGAATTCATTTAATAAAGCCGACAGATCATAACAGCAGCTACAAAGTATTATGTTCTTATGAAACTTTCTTCTTTTAGTTTACTTCCAAAAAGCCACAGGTTGGAGTGACTTATTTTCAGCTGGATTCCTTTCTAATAAATTAATTTAAGAAAAGGAAAATAAACTAGAGCTGGTACGTCTGAGGAATAAAGATGTCCACCTCTGACAAAGCATCAAAGGAAATATTTTATATTTGAAACTGCTTTTGGATTCTTGAGGAAATAAATCACCTACACAGACAATAGAAGAATCCCATTTTTTGAGTCAAAGAAAGAAGAATTCAGAACAGAGATACATATCACAGTTGTACTTCGTACCTAATCACAATGAATACTAATTATTAATTAGTATTCATGTGAAACTGGGTTGTTGTTGGCTTCAGCTTAGCATAAAAGGAATCACAGTTATTCCTTTTCTTATGGTTCCTGAAACCCCACCATCCCTTTTCCTAATCAGGGGAAGCAGACAGTGGACAGCCTACTGACAGATTTAAAGCATAATGAAAGTATTTGTTCTTAAATTCTCACATTGCTTTAAAATATCAAGTTACGGCCAAAAAGAATTGGTTAGATTTTGCCATATTGCAACATTTAATGTTTGAATCATAATTTTTTTTCAAGTTTAAAATGCAAAATTCTGGCCTTCAGTTGTGAGAAAAATATCTGAAACGCATTAAAAGCTTTCAGCAGCAGCTTTCAGCCACCATTGCTCACCATTTCAGCCTCACAAAAGCAGACCGATACTGTGATACAAATACCTGTGTTTCTGATAACATAATCCAAGATAACCAATCTTTCAAACTGTGACTGAAATTCTTTCCTTGTGTTCTCAGGTAAAGGATCAGTTTCAAACTTCCTGAGCCAGTAGTCAGCTTCCTTATACCCTTCAACAAACAGCTGGAAGGAGCCGACCTGAAACATTTAAGAAACTGCATCTGTAAGATGCACCTGGGTATGTCACAGTGCTAATCTTAACATTAACAGAAAAACTGATCACATACTTTCAAAGTTCAGAACACAAGTAGTATGACATTAAAAAAGAAAAAAAGGAATTTATTAAGTGGTTTCTCTTTCATTCTTAAATCCTTAAAAAAAAAAAAGTTACACTCAAATAATTAGGTTTCTTTCCATTTTTTTTTTTAAGTGTGTGTTGTTTGAAAATTATTTGTTTAAACACTGAGTTTACCAGGAATAAAACATAGCAGACAGCTCAACATAAATAAACAGTATTATGAGCAATATTTGAAACAAAGAGAAAGGAATAACATCTACAATCTTTTTCATTGGGAACAGTTGGTTCAATAGTTCCTAAGAAACTCAACAAAAATCACAGGAGAAAAAATTTCCTTCCTGAAAAACTTGTACGTTTTACTGACAAAAATAGCAGCATTAAGCATTTTTTCCAGAAAGACACTTTTTACATGAAAACAGCCGAAATACATGTCCCAAAAGAGTCCAAGGAAGAAAACTACACATGGCATAAGCTCCATATGTGTGGGCAGCAGGAAAGATGCTCAAGATTAAAGAGGGACTTATACTGGAGAAGCAAAATGTGGACGGATGCACGTGTGCAGAGCCACGGATGAGCACAGAGCAGGTGCAGTAACTACGCTGAGACAAGCTTGTGTAATACACGTCACATGGATTAAAATTCCTGGGGATTGACACAAATGGATTACTCAAGTTGTACCTAACCTGTGTTTTAAAAGTTTAGGAGCAGAACACCGTGGTGATATTTTGGGAATAAAATAAGGCTCATTAGGCAAGAAAGATGTGAGGTTTTAGTCACAAAGTACTGCACACAGAATGAAAGAAAGGTGGGATGAACACAACAATTGGATACCTAACAGAATAAAACAAATAATAGAAGCAAAAAAAAAAAGATTTAGGAAAAATTAAAGAACTAGATAAAATGAGAGGAGAAACAATTAGACAATATAAAAGCATGATACTGAAGGTAAATGTATTAAGTCTAGAGAAAGAAAGAAAGCAACTGTGAGAGATGTTCATTTTAACATGTTAACCTTTCAGCAGAAGGTTAGACTGCAAGCAATTAACAAGTGGCAAGACTAATTATTAAAGTAGTTCAAATGAAGGACTGATGCAAAGTGGATATATATGATTGTTTCTACACACAAAAACAAAACAAAAAACCAAACTTCAGTCATTCATAGATAGTTTTAACCAACCAACAAAGTTTTTCTTCTACTGTTGAAGTTACCTATAAATATTTAATTCAAAGTTTTGTGTAAGAATCAGAAAATGCACAAATTACTTATTTTCCATCTTACCTTAGGAGGTAGTCCAATTCGATTAAATTTTTTAGCAACTTTTGGCACTTTCTCTAAAGCATATTTTTTTCCTCTTGACTTCGCACGATCTATTGCGCTGTAATTAAATGTCTCACTGACAAGCCAGACAACCTTAAAACACAAAAGTTAAAAATACAGCATGGAATTCCTTATTATTTCTATTATAAATTTATAGTATATTTTATGCTTAGTTGTCAAAAAAGAAAAACACTTATGCATCATGCATTTCCAACAGACAAAGTTTACATGAGAATGTGAATCATTGGTATTTCACATCTTGAACAGGAATGGGAGTCTTTGTATGCCACTTTTTGCAATCTCACCAAAACATGAGGCACAAAAGCATTAGAAAATGCTAGAAACTGAAGTGGTTCCAAAGAAGAGATTCAATTCAGATCTCAAACTTATCCTTTAAAATAAGAAAAATCACCGTCACTACTTGCACACAAATCACAGTGCCCATGGACTTGCAAGAGTTTATAAACCATGATATATAAGGATGTCTGCACAACGAGAGCTCAGAGACCGACAAGTCTGTCACTATGTATTATTTTGCATTGAGTAATTAATGTAGATTAACTTTTACCTTAGTTTTAGGTACAACTCCTAGCCCCAGCTTGTCATCCACAAGATAGGCACCAGCTTCAGAGAGGTATCCCTGATTTGGAACGAGGCAGCCTCTGCCAAAGCAGCAAGGACAACAAACTTTGTGAAAATATTTGGTCCATTTTGGATTTAGATGTCCATAAGGCTCTTCAGATTTTGGTTTGAACACTCCAATACTTTTCTAGGATAAATAAAAGAAAATTATCAATACTTTGAGTTGCAAATATTCAAATACCTTCAGATAACTAATTTTGAAAATAATGTAGCATATTACAGTTGGTTTTAGATGATGAAATAATAAAACTATTGAAATGGTATTTCGGATGCATTGTCTAGAAAATGCTTGTCTAGAAAAAGTACAAGTTCAAAATAAGCTTTTTAAGACAGAATCAAAAGCAGAATATTAAAAAAATCGAAATGCTAGCTAAGTTTTTTTAAGAATAAGTTTTTAAAAGTGATTTTAAAAATAATTTTCAGCACAACAATTCCCTCCTTGACAAGATATTTCAGAGAGAAACATAATACTTCCAGGAAAGTGACAAACACACAAATTGCTAATAATCAAATGTTACCTTTTGTCTTTCATATCTATTTTATTCATTGCTTCAAGTTTAAATGGGTCAAAACGCTCTGCACTTTGCAATTTCAAAAAGTAGTGTTTACCACTGCTGTATATTCCTCAACAAAAAGCTGACAAAGGTTCACAGTAACAGCCATGATCTACACTGGAGACATGGAGTAAAGCCTAAAATTACTCAGAGTACTATGCCCAATGTTGGACACTATGCATCAAGAAATTGGTTAATAAATTGAAGAAAGTTGAAGAAAACAACTGAGAAAAAGCTCAAAACACATGAATAATTAAAGCCCATATGAACAGAGATTGTCTAGCCCAAGAGAAAATGGGGCAAGATGAAGTATGTAATAGGTTGCTATAGAGAAAAAGGAACAATACATTTACTGTTAACGAGCCAAGCAATGATAGGCTTAAATCCCAGCAGATAAGTTGCAAAGAAAAAACACTTTTTGAACCTTAAGAGCAGCTCAAAACGAGAACAGACTGCCAAGTTGTAGAGTCTCCAAAACAGAATGCCACTAACAACAGGTTAGACAGACTTCCATTAGGAATCATTTTTAAATGATCCTGCTCTACACCACAGGCATTAAATAGACGATTTCTCAAGGTGCCTCCTACATGTGATTGTTAACCTCAAACCACAAGATTATTACCACACTGAAACACATAACCTTCCAATTGTCTCCGATAAACTTTAGCCTAGTGCATAAAGTCCACGTGATGACTCAAGTAAAATGCCACAGAAATGCTCTATCTTATTTCCTTCTCACAGGACCATGGTAAAGAATCACAGAATGTCAGAGGTTGGAAGGGACCTCAAAAGATCATCTAGTCCAGCCCCCCTGCCAGAGCAGGATCACCCACAGTAGGTCACACAGGAACGTGTCCAGGTGGGGTTTGAATGTCTCCAGAGAAGGAGAGTCCACAACCTCCCTGGGCAGCCTGTGCCAGTGCTCCAACACCCTCACAGGGAAAAAAGATTTTCCTAATGGTTTTGTGGAACCTCCTATGTTCCACCTTATATCTGTTGCCCCTTGTCCTGTCATTGGACATCACTGAGAAGAGCCTGGCTCCGTCCTCCTGACACTCCGCTTTGACATATTTATAACCATTGATGAGGTGACCCCTCAGCCTCCTCTTCTCCAGGCTAAAGAGACCCAGCTCCTTCAGCCTTTCCTCACAAGGGAGATGTTCCACTCCCTCCATCATCTCTGTGGCTGCACTGGACTCTCTCCAGCAGTTCCTTGTCCTTCTTGAGCTGAGGGGCCCAGAACTGGACACAATATTCCAGCTGTGGCCTCACCAGGGCAGAAAATAAATCAAATTCTTATCTAATAAATATTTAAGAACAACTGTTTCAGAAGCATTTTCACATATTAGTACTTTCCTGAATTCTTATTAAAAAAAAAAAAATAATAACACCTCAGTAAGTTAAACACTGCCTATTGTTCCACCAACACTCAGATGATTTATACTCCTAAGCCACAAACAAGCTTCTGGGAGTGAGAAACTCACCCTCAGCTTCAGCAACTGCTGATTCAGCTAGATCAGGAGAGGACCTGACTTGTTGTTCTAGCTTCAACAAAATTTTCACCCATTTTATGCAAGACAATATAACTAGTTCAAGATAATCTTGCTCTGTTCGAGACAGACTACAGAGAACTTCACACAGCTTGTGAACAGATTACACAGGACACCAAGCAGTAGCAGTATCCCCTGTCCTGCATATCTATTTTAATCCATTGCCATCAACCACTAGGAGAAATAAATTACAAAATACTGCTATTTTCATTCATCCCATAAGTTTCCTATCAACAGAGGCAGTAAATAAACTGATAAAAATTCTCCCATTTTCAGTATGCTGTTTTCCGTGATTCCAAGGTTACATTCAAACTTGTGAGTAAGTTTATGCAACTGATACAATTCAGTTTGGGTCTTTACAGAGGGTTAGGCTTACAATAAATATTCTATGCAACATCAAAGGTCAGATATTCTCTGAACACTTTTTTTTTTTCCAAATCACACCACTTTGGAAATTGAACTTATTTAGTATACTAGCTTAGTCAAAATTCTAATGTTAGCTTTAGAATTGTTAAAAAGTGATTTGGATTTTTCCTATTGAATCAGAGGTATCTACCTGCTCAAACCAAAGCTAAGAGCTTGTTATTTTCCAGAAATATAAATATAATATATAT